TCACGCTCATTTCCATGCTTAAATCAAAGGCAAGAGGATGGCCTTCAGAAAACCCCGTTAAATAGGTTTCTTGTAGCTATTTGGTTCTATTTCAATACTATTCTGACCAGGTGTTGGAGAAAATCTACAGATGACACACATGTACTGCAGTTATCTAGCAGCAAAGCAGTAAAAGGTTGACTGTATTCTTCTACGTTATATAATCTATATTTAGACGCTGTAAAGTTTTCCAGCATCCAGCCCGGCCCCACGCTTGGAGTCAGCATTCTCTATGAAGGGAAAATTCTAACCTCTTGACTGTTGCAGAACATAGGCACCTAAGTGCGTCTGGAGGTTTTAAAAATAGAGACCACTGATGAAATCACAGGGTGATGAACACTACTGGAAATTTATAAACACAGTCTGTATAGGTTGCAGCATTCATAATTCATAGTTCCAAAAACCCGTAAAGTTTGGCAGTTACGTGCAAATGAGTAAGTTAGTGAGTAAGTAAGTAGTAAGTAAGTTAGCAAATGAGTTAGTGACAGAAAGAGTGGGAAGACATTAGCTGTGGATTCTAAAAGCTTAAATTAGAAATAAGGAGCACATTAGTTTTTACAAATGCTTGTGCTAGGAGAAATATTGTAAGCTGATTGTACTACTGCTCAGCCTGAACTATTCAGGTATTCCTTCCAGCAAAAAGGGTGTTTCATTTTCTGCTCCAATTGTTCCTGCATTTCATCAGTCACACCTATAATACTGTATTCCTTGAGATATTCTTTCATATATCACTACTGTCACTACTGTTCATAAACCCCACAAAAATGTGAACTTTGAAACTAGAATAGATCCACTGAAGGAGAGGAAGTACATTTGTAAGTAAAAGAGAAGGGGGGCTGATGTTCAGAAAAACAATTAAAAATTATTTCAAAGATCAGGATGTTAGCTTAAAAAGCTAAAGAAAGAGCATACAACATTTCTTTTTCTTTTTCTATATTACATATTCATTTCATGAGAATTGCCCCTAATCTCATTAAGGAAAAAACAGAATTGGCCACAAGTCCAATTTTGCTTTGTATGATAGCAACATTCAAAGACCTTTGTTCGATAAGTCCAGGAGATTTCTATCATCCAGCTGTTGCCTGCAATGATGCTGTGACTTAGCTCAGAACATATTTAGTCCTCCATCTCAAGTAAAATACATTTGGCCTTGATGAAACAAGGAAGTGTATCGATACTCCAAACAAAATGTGACAATGGCCATCAGCTCCCATCATCATAATCATGTTGGAGAAAGCTCTCCGAAGTTACAGTGATCAATCCTACTTGATCAATCCTACTTCACT